ATTTCACCCCCGTTGCTGCAGCTTTTCCGCGCTCCCCACCCGGCCCCGGCTCCACCCGCCGAGCGCGGGGGTAAGCGGGCTGCAGAGGCGGGATGGGGGGGGGAAAGCTCCCGATCCGTCCGTTACCCCCCCCTTAAACGTCTCCGGGGCCGATTCTGCGGAGGGGGAAATTTTTCACAGGGGGAAATGACCAACAGCAACAACAAAAGTAATAGATATGTGCTTATATCCAGCAAAAAGAAGGGAAAAGGAGCGGGGAGCGGCGGGGAGAGGGCCTGATCTCGCAGCTAAAATTATCTTGAACTGGCTGCCGAGGGCGCAAATCGCGGTGGGGCGGGCGACGGGGGTGGATTTTCAGCAGAGGAAAAGGTCGGTGGGGAAAGGGCCGGAGTTTTTTCCCGGCTGGATTCCCGGATTCCTGCCCGTAGCGCCACAAACCCGGAGCCAAGCGGGCAAAGCAGGGAAGGGGAAATTGAACCCGAAAAAGCCGGAGAGACCCCGGGTGAAGGGAGGGGGGGCACAGACGGACACACAGCACGACCCCCGTCCGCTACTGCGGGGATTGGTGAAGCAGCGGGGATGGGGGCTCCCATCCTGGATCTCCCACCCCCCCCCTTATCCCCCCCCATCCCCGGCCCCGCAGCGGGTTTCCCCAAATCCCGCTTTAATAACCCCAAATCCGGGCGGAACTTTCCCGGCGTGGCTGCTTTTTTGGAGGGGTTTTATTTTTTTGGCTTTTTTTTTCTCCTGCTTTGTTTTGTTTTGGAAGCGAAAGCGTTTGAATCCCCTTCAAGAACCGGTATCAAAGTCTCTTTTTTTAAAAGCTATTGATTGCAAAAGTCTTATTTAAACCAACACATTTTAGTTTCTCACATTTTAAAACATCATCTGGGGCCCATTGTATGGAAAATCGATTAGCAGAAATTGCCACGCTCTTTGCCTCCCGCTTGATTGTTGTAAAATCGAGACGTCCACAGGCAAAAGCTGGGCTGGGGAAGATTTGGAACCGAAATGAAAGGGTTTGCGAGGAATCTATAGGCACTAAATAATTCACCTGCCAGGCGATGGGGCTGTTATTTTGAAGCCTTAAAGAACTTTAAGGAACTTGGGCTGCTAAAGGGACATTGCTATGGCGGGGGGCGCGGAACCGCCTCCTTTTCCTTCCCTGCCCGGCAAAATAAACTGGTTTATTTAGTCCTTGCCTTGTACCTGCTCGCCGACTGCAGTCAGCACTGCCCGCGCCGCTGGATGTGTTTCTGGCGGTGTCGTTTGTGCTTTCGAGCTGTTCCTAAGGGGGCGGGTGGGGGTGGTGTAGAAATTAAATATATATAGGTAAAATAAGATAAAAATAAAATAGATTTGAGCTCAAAGCAACCGCAGAGCGAGCAGCGGTAGGGCCCGCGAAGGCAGGGGTACAGGCAGGGACACAAGCAGGGGTACAGGCAGGGAGCAGGCACCGCTTCCTACCCCCGACACAGCCTTCCCCGGGCTCCGGGGCTGCCCGCCCGGCCTCTTCGCGGCCTCCTGCCCTGCCCGGCCGGGAGCAGGGTCGCGTCTCTAAGTGCGGGGAGCCCCGCTCCGCCCTAGGGGCAGCAGTGGGATGGGCAGAAGGGGTTTGGGGGTAGCGGCTGGGCCCGCCCCGCTGCGCCTTCTGCCCGCTCGTCCCGTTGGAAAGAAGCCCTCGGTTGCGCCGGAAGGGCTGGGGGGGGCGGAACCGGCGGAGGCTGCCCCGGACCTGTTACCCCAGCTCCGCACTCCCCGCCCCAGGGTGCCGCCACTACCCGGCTCCTCTCGGAGCGCTGCCCGGGCGGCTACGGAGGAGCAGAGGGACCGGAATTAAATAGGGAGAGGGAGCTTGGAAAGAAAAAGGAGGCGAGGGAAGGGATCAATAGCATCCAGCTGGCGAATGGAGACCGGGCCTCTTCCCCGCGCTGCCACCCGGCCCATCGCCGGAGCCTCTGGGCTCTCCGCGGGGCTTCCTCCGGGCTGGGGCCGCAGCGGCTGCAGCGAACCCGGTCGGGCTCCGGGATCGCACACGCGGGCAGCGGCCCGGACCCTACCCGGGGAGCTCCCGCCGCCGCCCCGCTCCCCCAGCCCCGCGGGTTTCGGTGACTCTCTCCTAATGATATTGCATCGATCGGGGAAGAGCCGAGGAGGGGGGGAGGGCGGGGACACGGACGTGGGGCTCCCGCATTACTCAATTATGTCACACTAATTACTAAAAAGTCTCTCTCATTTGTTGCTTGCTCGGTGCAAAGCTCGGCGGAGGGCAGAGTCCAGCGCCTGCCCCGGGGCGGGAGGGGGACCCGGTGCTGCGGGCCTGGCGGTGCTGGGGAGCGGGGGGAGGCGTAAGCCCAGCCCGACCCGGGGACGCTGTGCAGGACGGCGGGAGCGCGGGCAGCTGCAGGGATAGATCTATCGATGGGCGGTCGATGGGCCGGTCGATGCTCTATCGCCATTATTACACTCAATGAAACCCTTGCAGACGCGGCCGCTTCATCCCTGGTTTGTTCCCCACCTCCTTCCTCGCTGCGCACCTCGACACTCCCCCCCCTCCCAGCATCTTCTGGCGCTGCCTGGCCTCAGGCTACCCCTGCCCGGCTCCGGACCCCCCTGCCCATCCCTTCCCAACTCCAGACCCCCCCACTCATCCCCGCTTGGCTCTGTACTCCCTCTGCCCATCCCCGTCCAGCTCTGTACACCCCGCCTATCCCTGCCCGACTGCAGGCTCCCCTGCCCATCCCTGCCTGGCTTCGGACTTCTCCTCTCCATCCCTGCTCGGCTCCAGGCCCCTCTGCTTATCCCTGCCCGGCTCTATGTCCCATTACCTGCCTGGAAGCTTCTCCCCGCAGGCCACCTGGATATCGGGGACTTCGCATCCCCACCGGAGCCCCCAGGATGCGGCTCCCTCCCGATTTCAGGATCCCGCTCATGGCCCGCGGCCCCTCCCGACAGGGCCACATCAGGGCTCAGAGCTAGAAGCGGGGCCGGATTCCTCCCACATCCCGGCTGAACCGTGGTATAGGGGCTTAACAGGGGCAGAAAAAACCCCGAAGGGACACCCCCCGCTACCACCACCACCCCGTTCCTCCCCGTGCATCATCTGCTCCACGGTGACCGCCCTGTGCGGCGCTTGAGAACTGGCTTTATTTTATTGTATTGGTCACTTAACCCGCTTCCTGGGGACGGGATGGGATGGATGGGATGGATGACATGGGTGGGATAAGATGCGATGGATGGGCTGGGTTGGGTTAAATGCGCTGCGGTTGGACGGGATGTTAATCTTTGCGGAACTCCTCACTGCGGAGCCGGCTGACACCGTGAGCACCGGCCCGCGGCCCCCGCCCCGGAGAGCCGGGACCTGCAGCCCCGCTGCCGCTGCCGGAGCTCCGGGGCCAGCCCGGACCCGCCTCGGCCGCCTGGAGCCCGGCAGCGCCGGGGACTGAGGCTGCAAGGACCGGTCCGCAGGGCTCGTTTTCATCTCTTCGGTTTTCAATAAAGCTTGGGAAACTGGAGCGGCCCGGCCTGGGGCACGGAGCAGGCCGGGAAATGCCGGAGCCTCTTACGCAGGCGTTCGGGGTCGGGGGGAGCCCGGTTCGGGGCGACGGGACCGGGAGCGGCCGGAAAAGTCCCTGGGAAGCATGAAGGCCCGGCCCGGCCGGGGCTTGTGCCCGGCTCGAGTGGCCTCTTCATCCCATCTGCCTTACTTTCCTTTCCCTTTCCCTTTTCCTTTCCTTCTCTCTTTCGCTTTCCCTTTCCTTTCCCCTTTCTCCTTTTCCCTTTCCTTTTCCTTTTCCCTTTCCCTTTCTTATTCCTTTTCTCCATCCTTTTGCCCTCCCCTTTCCCCTTCCATTTCCACTTCCCTTTCACCTTTACTTTTCCCCCTTCCCTTTGCATTTCCATTTTCCCTTTCCCTTTCGTTTTCCTTTCCCTTTTCATTCCATTACCATTTCGCCTTTCCTCTTTCCTCTTTCCCTTTCCCCTTCCCTTTCCCATTTCCATTATCCCTTTCCCATTTCCCTTTCATTTCCATTAGCCCTTTCCCCTTCCCTTTCCCTTTCCATTTACATTTTCTCTTTCTCTTTTCCCTTTCCCTCTTTAGTTTTTCCATTCCCCCCTATCTCTGCCCAGGGCCCTGCAGCACAGCACCTTATGCTGCCCCACGCGTGTCCCTGTCGCCCCCCTCCTCGTGCTAAAGCCCCCCTCTGACACCTCCCGTTCCCTTCCACTGCCAGGGAACGTCAGCAATGCCCTCCGGGTGGTGACCCAGGGGACACGAGTGGGGAAGCACGGGGGGTGTTTGGGGTGAGCGAGGGCAGCCCGGCCCTTGGGAGGGATCGGAGGGGGCTCAGGGGGGTGCTGGGGGCCTGGGCACAGACCCACCGGAGGGGGGGGGCTCAGCCAGATGTGCGGGGCAAGGTGGGCACAGCCGCCAGATGCGCACTGGGGGGTGCGGGGGTCACCTCGCTGTGTGTGTGGGGGAGCACCTGGTAAGAGGGGGGTCACCGGGGTTGGGGGGGGGCCACCGGGGAGGGGGTCAGGGCTCGGGGCGGTCCCGCCGTGCTCCGGACCCCTCCGGCTGCCCCCGCCCGTCCCGTGCCCCCCCCCCCCCGGTCTCACCGGGAGATGCTGGGGGGGAGGGGGGGGAACACACTCGGTTCAGCCGGGGGGGGGGGGGGGGGGGGCGGGGCGGTGCTGACGTCACGCCGCGGCCCAGAGCGAGGCTGCCGGGAGCCGGTGGCCGAGGCGCGCTGCAGCCGCTCCGAGCTCCCGCACCGCGCCCCGCGCCCCGCTCCGCAGCGCTCCGAGCCGGGCTGGGGCGGGCGGGCCCGGCGCACGATGCTGGCCTGACCGCGGGGCGCGGGAGATCGATCCCCGAGCGCGGAGTCTGAATTAATCCGGGAGCGAGGAACGGGGTGGGGGGGGGGGAAACGCGGCGGCGGTGGAGGAGGAGGAGGAGGAGGAGGCGGCGGGGGGGGGTTGTGGGAGGAAGGCAGCAAGCGAGCGGGAGAGGCAGCGGCAGAGCCCGGCGGCCACCATGGAGCTGGCGATGGAGAACCTGGGCAGCCTGCACGGCGTCCCGCACTCGCAGCCCGCAGAGCTGCTGAGCCCGGCGCACGGGCGGCAGGGCTCGCACCGCAACCTGGTACCGCACGGCCGGCCAGCCATGGTCTCGGGCATGGCCTCCATCCTGGAGGGGGGTGACTACCGCGCCGAGCACAGCCTGGCCGCCCCGCTGCACCCCGCCATGAGCATGTCCTGCGAGTCGCCCTCCGGCATGAGCCTGAGCAGCACCTACACCACGCTGACTCCCCTGCAGCACCTGCCGCCCATCTCCACCGTCTCGGAGAAGTTCCACCACCCGCACCACCACCACCACCATCACCACCCGCACCAGCGCTTGGCCGGCAACGTGAGCGGCAGCTTCACCCTCATGCGCGACGAGCGGAGCCTGGCCTCCATGGGCAACCTCTACAGCCACTACCCCAAGGACATGCCCGCCATGGGGCAGCCCCTCTCGCCGCTGCCCAACGGCCTGGGCAGCCTGCACAATGCCCAGCAGCCGCTGGCTCCCTACGGCCCCGGGGGCCACTTGCCCAACGAGAAGATGCTCTCGCCCAACGGCTTCGACTCTCACGCCGCGATGCTGTCCCGGGGCGAGGAGCACTTGGCGCGGGGGCTGGCGGCTCCCAGCTCGGCCATGATGCCACCGCTCAACGGGATGCACCCGCACGGCCACCCGCACGGCCAGCCCGGAGGGGCCCTCCTGGGCGAGAGGGAGCGGCAGGCCTCGGCCACCGGCTCCCAGCCCGGCGGCTCCGGGCAGGTGGAGGAGATCAACACCAAGGAGGTGGCTCAGAGGATCACGGCCGAGCTGAAGCGCTACAGCATCCCGCAGGCGATCTTCGCGCAGAGGATCTTGTGCCGCTCCCAGGGGACCCTCTCGGACCTGCTGCGGAACCCCAAGCCCTGGAGTAAGCTCAAGTCAGGCCGGGAGACTTTCCGGAGGATGTGGAAATGGTTGCAGGAGCCGGAATTTCAGAGGATGTCGGCGCTCAGGCTGGCCGGTAAGGGCACGGCGCGGTCTGCGGCCACGGCCGCCTACCCCACACCTCTGGGTGGGGGGGTTCGGGGGTGTCGGTGACACGCGTGGGGAGCTCCCGCTCTTGGAATGCCGTTGCAAGCTGAGGTTGGGGCGGGTGTTACCGATTTGAAGTAGAAAGGGGAGGAAATAGTATTTAAAGTGAATTATATTCAAGGTGAATAATGCTTCAGGCGAGCCGACCCTCCCCGGGCCTGCTCCTGCCGGCAGGAGATGGGGGATCCAGGGAGGCGGCAGCCTGTCGGTGCTCCGGCCCCCCCTTCGGCTGCTTCCAGCCTCGTCGGTGCTTATTCGCTCGGTGCCGGCTCCTTGTCCCCCGTGAGCCCCGGAGAGCTCCCGGCCCACGGGTCCGGGCTGAGCCGCGACCCCGAGGCCGCTCGTGGAGCTCCTTACCCGGTACCGGAGCCTCGCTCCGGGGACGCTCTGGACCGTGCCCGCGCTGCCCGGTCGCTGACGCCGAGGGACGGGCGGCAGGGCCGGGGATCGCTGGGGAGAGGCGGCAGCGCCAGAGCTGCGCTCTGCTCCCTCCGCGGCACCGGCTGCCGTCGGGAAGAGGGAGCGAATCCCGCTCCTTGACCCCGGTTCCCAGCCGGAGGGGAGGCGGCAGCGGGGGTCCCGCAGCACCGCGGGTGCGGAGCGCAGCGCGGCGGCACGGCCGTTCCCTGCCGCCGCTCCCGGCGGGGCAAATTCGGCCTCAGCCCGGCGCTGGGCCGCGGGTTTGCTGGAGGAAAGCGGTTTTTCTGCTTGGGTGCTCTGTGGCTAAGGGGGGTGAGCAGGGGTCTCGAGGACAAGAACGGAGAGGGGGGCCAGTGCCCGGCCTTACCCGCAACCCCAGTCCCCGCAGCCGGCCCGGCCCGACCCGTCCTTCCCCTGGCTCCTCCGCGCAGTCCCTGTGGTGCCCGTGGGGTATAAACCACGCGTTTATATCTATTTTATTGTTCTTTTTAACGCATCCGAGCAGCGTCCGGCCCGCTCGGCACGGCGAGGAGCCCGCCGTTATTTATGGAGGAGAACAGCGTTCATATGTATTTAGTGTAATTCAGTTGCTCTTTAATTAGGGCAGGGTAGTGGCATCTTTTAGTTCCAGTCGATGCCCTATTGAAAAGCAGTTAATAGAATGCAAATTGTTCCTGGCTTTACAAGGTTCTGGTAAATAAAGATTTAAACACTGCCGCGATCGGCCGTTTAATGCCCCCGTTGTTCGGGCTAATTGAGCAGCGGGTGGTGGCTTCTGCCTCGCCAAAATTTGATATAATAACCATGATGGTGATAATAAAAACACGGAGCCGGCCTGGGGGGGGGGGTCAGAGAGGGCCCTGCCCTGCTCGGGCTCGGTCCCCGCTGCCATCGCTCCGCTCCTCCCGGCGACGCCGACCGAGGTTTGTTCTCTTCAAAATGGTTTTGATTCCCCAGCGCCAAGTTTCCCTCGGCCCCGGGGGCGCCTCGAAGGGATGATCTATGGAAATGACCCCCCCAGATTTCCTGGGGACAGGGTTGGCTTCTCTGCTTCCTGCAAAGAGAGGAAATAAACTAAACCCAAAACCACAACAAAACCCACCCCAATCCAAGTTCCCCCCCGCCCCGCCGCCGGTTGAAACCGGGCCGCTGCCGCTGCAGGGGATCTGCCGGGCCCGGACACCGGCCGGGAGGAGCTGCTTCGGCCTCCCCCGGCCCGGCCGCTTTGTTCCCGGCCCCGCTGGGCCCCGCTTTCGTTTCGCTCCTCCCGCCGTCTCTTCCGCCAGGGCCCGGGCGTGGGGCAGGTTGAACCCGGAGTAGTGGGGTTCGGTGGGAGGGGGTTGCGCTAGGGGGGAGCCGTGCCAGGTCTCAGCGATGGATGCAGGCGAATTCCCCCGAACCCGAACCCCCTTGGGCCGCCGGTCGAGCCTGTTCGTCCTTTCGGGCTGCCAAGCGTTTGGGGAGGGGTGGAACTGGAGAGGCCCGGAGGGCTGCGATCCCCCGGCCACCAGGCAAGGGACCCTTGTCCTGCTGATCGGGATTTTTGCCTTCCCAGTGCAAGGAATAAAACGAGTGTTAGACGCAGGGCACTGCAAGGGCGAGGGTGGTTCTAGCCCTAGCCCTGGTCCTGGTCCTGGTCCCGGTCCCTCCCGGCTGCAGGAGTCCATCTGATGTATTAGTCCGAGACAGTAAACCATAGATCAATAAACACATCGGGGCCCTATAAATGGCAATTCCCGCTTTTCTCCTCTTCCCAATCCCGATCCCCCCTCCCACCACTCCGTTCGCAGATGAACCATTAATTATCCAGCCGTGGGCCTGCGGCTCCTCTCGCCCCTCGGGGCTCGGCAAAACGGGAAGTCCCACGAGGAAACATCTGGGCAACAGCTGGCGGTGCCCGTCCCCGTCCCCTCGGGCCATCCATCTCCGCGACCCGCTGTCATGGCCGCATCACCCCCGTATCGTTCCAGATGCAGCTTTACAAACTTCGTGACACACACGCACCCCCCCCCTTCTGCCCCGGTCCCTCGGTGTCCTGGGGGAGAAAAAGGCCCCCGGGGGGTGATGCTTGGAGCGGGTGGGCTCCTGCTCTCCCATACCCGCGTGTCCAGCCCACCACGCGTGTCGGTGGGGGCTCTCCCACACTGCCAGACCCCCCCCCCCCCGCCAGTGGATACCCCCTCCCCGCCACGGATTTCTTCCGACACTCAAGGCTGCGCAATTCCCTCGTGATTATTCCTCGGGTGGGCGACAACACCGTTGTGCCCCGTTCCCGACACAGCGGCTCCCGCTCTCCGCCTTCCTTCGCTCTTAACCCGGGTGAGCGCTCGGCTGCCCCGGCCACGCGTGTTTTCCTCCCAGGGGGCTGGTTCTGCTCGGACCGGCCGCGCCCGGCGCCCCAGGGAGGCCGGGAGGGTTCCCCCCGAGCCCGCGCTTTCCTTCTCTTGCGTTTGCGTTTTATTTTTCCCTCCCTCATCTCAATTTTTCTTTTTGCTTCAGTTCTCCCGTTTTTGGCTGCCTCTTTTTGTATTTTTTTCCTTCTTTCTTCTGTTTTTTGTTTTCTTTTCGTGTTTAACTTTTTTCCTGAGTGCTTTATTTCCTTTCCTTTCCTTTCCTTTCCTTTCCTTTCCTTTCCTTTCCTTTCCTTTCCTTTCCTTTCCTTTCCTTTCCTTTCCTTTCCTTTCCTTTCCTTTCCTTTCCTTTCCTTTCCTTTCCTTTCCTTTCCTTTCCTTTCCTTTCCTTTCCTTTCCTTTCCTTTCCTTTCCTTTCCTTTCCTTTCCTTTCCTTCTGTCTTTCTGTCTGTCTTTCTGTCTCACTGTTTTTCTCTTTTTCTTTTCTTTTCTTTTCTTTTCTTTTCTTTTCTTTTCTTTTCTTTTCTTTTCTTTTCTTTTCTTTTCTTTTCTTTTCTTTTCTTTTCTTTTCTTTTCTTTTCTTTTCTCTTTTCTCTTTTCTCTCCTTTCCTTTCCCTTTCTTTTCCTTTTGTTTTCTTTTCTTTTCTTCTCTTTTCCTTTCTTTTCCTTTCTTTTCTCTCTCCTCCCAGGGCCTTCTCTCCCGAACAATTCGCCGCCGCAGCACGAGCCGTCGTTGTTTTAAAAACCCAACCACCCTGAAACTGCGAGAACGATCGCGGGGCTGGGCCACGGCAAATGCCCGAGAGCTTTGGCAATTAACGCCGCTAATGAATACCCCGAACTAACACATCGAAAAGCCACAATTAGGGACAAGATCGCCCCGCGTAAAAAGCGGTAAACACATAGAGAGATATTCTTTTTGCCACGAGTTTTGTTTCCATTTCAGCCTCTTTCAAACGACTTTCGCCCAACGACGGCGCCTCCCCACCGGAGGGCACCGGGGCGGCTCCGCTCGACCCCGGCCCCTGGCACCGGCCGCGGTCCGTGCCAGGGGGAGAGTCGGGATATCGGGGATGTTTTCGCCGCTTTCGATCCGCTCCCGTCCGCGGGGCGCACGGGGGAGTTTGTGGGATAGGGAGCGGATTATTTCGCCGCCGTCAAATGGGGGAAAACGAGAGTCCGGATGTCCCGGTGGGGCGAAGTGTCCGTTCAGGAGAACACGAAGAAACCGAGCGAGAACGGAGAGAAACCCCCCCCTTTTCCCCGCTGGATTTTTGGTGTTCTCAAATTCATCAAATCCGAACTATTTCTGTTATTTTACCGTTTTAGCACGTTAAAACCAAGCAACTTCGCCCGCCGCCGCCAACCCGCCCGCCTGGAGCTTGCCTCGCATCCCGCAGCCTGCATCCCGCCCCGCTCCGCACCCCGCACCCCTCTCCGCGCCCCTCTCCGCGCCCTTATCAGCGCACGGGGCCGCCTCTCTCCGCCCGCGGCTGTGTTTTCGTGCGTGTTTGCTCCTAATCTGCGCGTCAGAAGGGGCCAATAAACCTCCCGTCGGTTAAATATTAAATCAGGGTTTCCCCCCCTCCCCTCCCAGGAGGAAACAACCTCCCTTCTTCACCGGGTACAACCCACCCGTGCCTATGGGGTTCCCCCAATCTCTCCACCCCCCCACTCATCATCCCCAGCTGAAGCCGGGTGCTTTTGTGCCACCGCCTCAGTTTTGGGTGCATATTTTGGGTGGGTTTTTGTTGGTTTTGGTTTGGTTTTTTTTATGATTCTTCCCCCCCGCTTTTTTTTTCATTTCTGGGTGTGCAACATGGAGGTGATGTTTTTTTCTCTTTCTCTGTCCTGTCAATCGCCACTGAAACCATAAGGGAGAGATAACAGAGAAGAGAAAACTCTCAGAGTGACCTTTGAATCAATTTGAAAAACCTCATTTAACTGATAAGTCTTGAAAGGCCCAGAACTAATTTGAAAATACATCTATTAAAATCTCATTGCCGCTGCCTGGGAGCTGCTGGGAGGGGTGTGCGAGGCGACTTCCTGGGGTCGGGAGAGCCGGGAGAGCAGGTTTAAGCCCTGGTCAACAAAGAGATTGCAGAGCAAAATGATGGGGCCTTAAACCAAGAGAGAAAATAAGGAATATTAAACGAAAATCAGTCTTTCTTCCGCCGCTGGTGGGGAAAGGGGAGATTTACAGCATTTTCCTGCCATAACCAGGCACGGAGTCTGGGATCGCAGACAGAATATTGGATTTCTTTTTTTTTTTTTTTTTTCCCCTTTCAGAAAACAAATCCAATATTTTCTCATTCTGCTCAGATGCGGTTGCAGGGCCGGGGAGCCAGAGAGGACAGCCGACCCCCAGGAGTGACCACAGGGGAGGCTCTGCCCATGCTCCAATCGCCGCAGAGTGAATGCCAGCACTGTGGCTAAACCCCGGGTCTGCCAAAGCGGAGGAAGGGGTGGGATGGTGAAGGCAGGAGAAGACCAGAGGCAGGGCCCAGGTGCCTGTTTTCCTGCCCTGGGAATATCCCACCCTGCCCTGGGCACAGCTCCTCACCTTCCCCAGCATCCCTTCAGCATTGCCTGGGTTCAGAGGAGCTGGAAATCCCTTATGGAATCCTCCCGGGTGCATGGGGCTCCTCGCGCAAAGCCCACATTCGGGGCTTGTGGCAGTGTGGCAACGCGAAAGCAACACCAAAATAAGAAGGAAAAGTCCATTTTATTTAAACCAAACCATGGCTCAGAAGGCTGGCTGGGGCTTTGCAGCTTGGTGGGGACTCGGAGAGCTCTGGCTCCACACTTTGGGGTGCAGCTTGGGATGCTGCTGCCATAGGATGGGTTGTGTTTCCTGCAGGAATTGCTGCCTCCCTGTTCTCAGCAGAAGCTGGACCCGTCACCTCCCAGCATCAGCACCTTGTTGGATGGGGGAAGAGTTTTCTTCCTTGCTGCCTGATTTTCTGAGGTTTCTTGGGAAGGCTTGAACAGAGGGAGCCCAGCACCCTGAGTATGGATGGAGCTTTTAGGTGGCTTTGATCCCCCTTCACCCCACATCCACAAAATGGTGCAGCTCTACCCCAGCTTCCTTTTTTTGGAGCTGAGCTGCACAAATGCCATGGCTCAGCATCAAGCTGAGACTTCAATTAACCTGGGATGTGTCTCATCAACCTGGGATGCGTCCAACCAACCCGGGATGCGCCCTGCTCCCGCACAGCACCAGCAGCACAGCAGAGGGGCTGGCCTCAGCCCCTGCTTTGGAAAATTGACCAAAAAGGGAAGTTGAAGCCAAAAATTGCCTCCATCCTCAGCCAAAAGCGATGCTGGATGGGTGCAGCGGGAGCCATGTGGGTATGTGCCGGGGCTGGCGAGCAGCCGGCAGCCGTTTTTTGGCAGCTGAGTGCATTTCTTACTGGCTCTGTGCAGGACCGTGGCCATCAAGTGGCAAGATTTTGCTGATGGAACAGAAAATCAAAAGTCTTGTTAATACCTCAAATGATTTAAGGCCATCTCCAGCAAGCAAAGCAGATGATGGGCTTTTAAAACATTTAGGGTTGTTAAAAGACAGTGAACAAAAAAGGCAACCTGGATTCTCTGGTGCCAGAAAAAGGGACCAGGGCATTTAAAAAATAAAACCCTAATATTGAAATCAAGACATATTTGCATGGATAGTTTCAAGAACGACCTTAATAACTCTGTCTTAACATATATATATCTATTCTGTCGGGGATATGTACCATCGCTCTAAGTACTGTTGGTTTCTGGGTGGGGGCAAGGTAAGGAGGTCCAGAAATTATTTAAAAGGGATTCAATGGGATTCAAGGTGTTTTGCAGGAGGTAAAGTTAAGGCATGGAGATGGCAACGCTTCGCTGGGCAAATGCAGGGCTGGAGGTGCCACATAGCAAGGATGGGTGCACCCATGTACACCCACATGCACTCACAAAGGGTGGGATGTGGGTAGAGGTGGTGGGCTGAGATGGACAGTGTTGTGGAGAGGATGCTCGTATTTCCTGGCCCCATCCCACTGCGGGTACCGGCTTTCCCTCCCCTTGTTTGGGATCAGTGATGGTCCTTTCCTTCTCCATCTCATTGCTGGGGTTTTGCCTCCGAGCTCTGCACTGCAGGACCTTGTTGCTCCAACCAGACCGTGCCCTGTTTCCTTTATGCTGGAGGACTTGGTGTTGCTGTGAGCTGAGTCTGGGGAGCTGGGGGGGTTAATTTGCTGCCTGGCCTCTAATCTGGGGAAGGGCAGATGCCACCACCGCTGGCCAATGTCCTCAGCGGGAGACCTGGACTTGTCGCCATGCCTTGGTTCTGTATCTCTGCAATTGCCTGTATACAAACCACCAAGCAGGAGTGATCCCTCTGGGGTCTGAGCAACCTCATCACCCCTGGCAGGGTAGGGGTGGCTTGGCTCTGCCTAGCTTGGGAGAAGGAGCCAGAAAATCCCCATGCAGGAGCCTGCTGTGGGGAGAGCAGGTTGTGTGATGCTGGGACCGACCGTCATCTCTGTGCACAGCAAGGAGGAAAACCCCAACATCGTGACAAAAAAAAAACAGATGAAAGAAAGGCAAACTGCAGCTTTTTCTGCTGCTGCTGGCACAGGCAGCGGTAACTGACCCAGCTCTGTTGAGCCCAAGGCTCTGCAGGAGGAGGCAGCAAGAGGAGCAGGGGGCTGATGGTCTCCTACCAAGGTCCAAAGGAGAACTGATGTCTCCCGCTTCTGGCATGAATCCAGGGAGCCCTAAATATTGAGGTCTGGCAGGATTAGGGAATGCTGGGAGGGCACGGCTAGAACCCGGTGCCTCAGGTTTGGC